CAGAGTTCAGCGAAGAGACCAGAAGTGAGATATAACATACTAGTGCTCCTTCCTGTTTATACTAAGATGCTGATATTGGTAATGAACATCTGGTCCTGTGCATAATAAACATCCTTCATAACTACAAATTATTCATAGTGATGTCCTGACATATTTATGAATATACCTTTTAGGTTAGGCAACATTTCTACACACACACACAAACACACACACACACACACACACACACACACACACATCAAATTGCACTCAGTTCCAGGAAATACATTTACATTATATTTTCAGAGTTCTAAAACAAGCAGAACATAGACACTGTTTGTATTTAAAGAGAATTGTATTAATAATTCTTGAGAGCAGGATACAGATACCAAACTCAGACATAGGGTCTTTTCCTCTCTGGATTCTGAACAACAGAAAGAGCAATGGACCCTTCATCTCTCTTCCAGTGAAACCTTAAAAAAAACACCAAACGAAAGTAAAGAATGATGCATAGTTGTCAGAAATGTTATTATGAGCCATAGCAAAGTACCTTTCCCAACTACCTCCCTCCTAGCTCTTAGCTGGGAATTCTGAGAATCACAATCTAGACACATCTGGATATACAAAGTTGGGAAGGTTGTCTAACAAGTGTAAAATCTGAATCTCCTAAAATACTGGTGCACCTAACCCATTAAAAATCATGTGTTATTTTTTTCAATACAATTCCAAGAATTATTATCAGTTAAAAAGAAACTTAGTATTATTTTGAGGATGCTACAAATTTTATAGTGTAGCTTCAAACTGCTCCTCCTTCTCCAAATTTAATTACAAGTAATTGAAGCAATAAATCCAAATAATTTGGGTGTTCTGGGAAAGTATCATTACTTTAATTACATAGAAAGTTGCCAAAAGATATGGAAACATCGTATTGAAATAATTAGAGCAAATTGTCATACCAAAGATGAATGGATCCCACCAGGAAGCTTGGCTGAATTAAATATTTAGTTAGATTTAACTCGGTTTAACTTAACTGTGATTTCAGTGTTAATATTCTATCCCTGTAATTGCCTCTACCAACATCAAAGCATATTCAGTGGGCTATATGTATGCATTTTGGGCTGGTTTCAAGAGTCTAAAACATGGAATAGAATCAGGAGGAGGCATGTCAAGAATCAGATTCTGTACTATCAAGCCCTATCTTAATGCTGAGCCAGCTATCAGTCTCACCATCGCTGCCATGTACCAGGTGCCTCCTCCGTTGAGGTCTTGGGGATGCCAATATCAGAAGATAGACCTTCATTAGTTAAAGGGTCTCAGATTTGCTGACTTATACCAAGACATAGCTAGATCTTTCAGGACTGCTCAAGAGTAATCTCAGATAAAGAATGTGGTTCATGAGAACAGTACAATATGTAAGCAATTCAGGGAGACATAAGTGATAAGAGGCATCATTTGGGACTTGTGTGTCCTGAATATAGTACATAATGGTCATAGTCTGCCTACATTTTTTCAATGGTACTGTTGCATGCTTCCCAGTCAAGTGATTAAAAGCAAAAAATCTCTTGGATGAATCAAGTTTAGATTAATAGCACAGAACAGGTATTTCAGGAGATTAAAATTATTTTTCTGGAAATTATTCACCAAAAGAATAATACAGAATAATACATATTGAATTTGATTCATGGCATATTTGCAAAAAGTAGCTTGTTAAAATCAGTGCTTCATTGATCTAGAGGAAACAAAACATTCAGAAATCATTTTAACATTATAGCTGTTTCTGAAAGACAAATACTTATTCAGCTTTAGGGGGAAAATATAACCAATTTATTCCAATAGATTTTGCTAAACTAATTTCTGGCAACTTTTGTCTCTGGTCATGCTACATGGTTAGGCTGTGAATTGTAGATCATCTATGTCCAGAAAACCACAAATTTAAACCCACAAATTCTGCAAACCTGCAAAGAAGTTATATAAACCAGATCAAGACAAGCATTAAAGATTTGGCATTTACAGGTGGGAGGGAGCCAAAGACCTCTAAGTCCTTTTTGCTTCCTTGGGGAACAAGGTCTCAGCTAGGAAATTCTGGCCAAAACTGCTGCTACATTGGATAGAGTGATAATCTAGAGAACCTTATATATTAGGATCCTGTAAGTCTGCACCTGAAGACTCTGTTCATTTTAACCTTACATTAATAGAAAATGGAAAGGACAATGATGCAGGCATACCTGGGAGTATAAAAATGCTTTAGTCAAATGTGGGCAACAATAGAAGATAGATAACAATATTTTACTTACTTAGTTTGCACTGGGGCAAGAAGGCTATCTCCAGCCCTTAAAGTCAGGATTTTTCTATCAATAGTAACAAAAGATGAACCTTCCTAAAATGGTGGGGGAAAAGNTCAACCCTGAGCCGGTGAGATTTGAACAGCCGAACTGCAGAACTACAATCAGCTGAAGTAGCCTGCAGTGCTGCATTTAACCACTGCGCCACCTCAGCTCAAGAAATTGTCAGAGAACTGCAGTTTCACAATCTTCTGTCTTGTTCATACTTTTGTGTCATTCTAAAGTACAATGCCAAATATATCTGTCTTTCTCTGCCCTGGTTGATCACTATTTTTGTTCAAGGTAGATCACCTATTGCCCTACCGGGCACCTAAAGCAGCCTCTGAAATTTGGAGGCCTTCGAAGATATTGGGACAATAACTTTCAGAATGCGCAACTATAAATCCTAGGAGTTGTAATCTCACTGATGGAGGATATCAGATTCAGGAAGGATGGCCTAAAGGGAGGGGACATAATGATATAAGCTGCCATTTGTTCTTCATTTCTCAGTCTCATTGTACAATCATACATTATCAAATGTTTGAAGTGCCAATTTGTCATAAGTTCCATAGACAGTGTACACTGCTAACTAGATAGGCTGAGGTTTTAAATACAATACTTAAGAAACATCATGTTTCCTATGGTGCAGAGAAGATGCTGATTGAGGCAGTTTATCCTCCTTTCTATTGTCCTGAAGCTGCTTTTTCAGGAGGCAACTGGACTTTCTGTTTTTTCTTTGAAGACATTCACTTCTCATCCAAGAAGCTTCTTCAGTTCAGGAGAAGTGAAACGTCTTCAAAGAAAATCCAGAAAGTCCAGTTGCCTCTTGAAAAAAGCACATTTGGGGCAACCATGACCTGATGACTGGTAATCTCCATAGAATCCCTTCTATTGCCACTCTGGCAAGAAACACAATCATCTGCCTCAACAGGACAATCAGAGATATCAAAAGGAAACTATAAAACAAGGCTACTTTAGACTGAAAGAAATTCCTCCATTATCCCATTTGCTAAACTGAAGCATAAAGTTGCAGAAACAATACAGAGTAAATGTAAAATGATCTGCCTGTTTAGAAAGGGATCCAATATCATGTCAACCATTGTTTTCTCTTTTTTCACTGTAACTTTTTTCATTCCATCCCAAGTGAGATTTGCATCAAGTCTACTGTACAATTTGGATGGGATAAAAGAGTTCAAGAAATTGAATCTTGATTTCAGCCTGGATAGGGTTGGCATTTGATATATAGTAGTTGTTGGATATCTTTCACAATGGCTTCCTCCATCCCCCTCCCACCAATCTACATATCAAAGACCTGAATTTCTTGTCTCCTTACCTGTACCTGCTTACAGTTCTAATTTGGTATAAAGAAGCTTGACAGACAGACTGCTCAGCTAAATATGAAAAACTGGTGTTTTGTGGACTTCATTTTAAAATATTTTTATTTTCCTCCTCTGCATTGTTTGTTTTAGGACTTGAAGCTGTTGACAGAATTTTAGCCTGCAGGTTAAAGACAGAAGCAAAGTGTGGTCTCAACCTATATAATGCTATAGAAGATAAAGGCTATGAAGTTAAGTGCTGTGATCATCGTCGTTTATGTAATATGGAATTTGCAATAGTCCAACGAAAGTAGCCACAAAATCTCCCAGGAAGAAATTGATTTCCTCTCTATATTCTTTTGCTCAACTTTGATAGTTGATTTGGGCGCAGCAGAAGGAAGAAGCTTTGATTCTATGGATGCAGCCATCTACTTGCCTTTTTTGAATTCCACTCTCCCATTCCTTCCACAAATGCCTTTACATTGAAAGTATAAAATCTTAGCTCTAGTAGCAGATACCAAGCAGTTGGTATCTAGAACTGAATTCTGACATTGTACTTTTTAAAAAATTAAATTATTTTTAAATTACACCTTACATCTTTCAAAACAGTTTTTCCAGTTCAGGAATCACTATTCTTTTAAAGGGGAACATTTGCTAGTCTATGTCACATGAGGAAAAAATGGGGAAAAATGCTCTGTGAAGAACAACTTCAAGACAGTCTTAAAATAGGCAAATATTCCGGTGGTTGTGAAGCTTATGTAATATTTTCAAAGCTGTGTAAGAAACAGGCCAGTTACAAGATAGAAGACAAATTTTCAGTCAGATCTATGAATATGTGTGGATATGTGAATATACATATATAGACAAAACTGTATTCCAATATATCAAATTTCATTTCTACAGCAAGGAAAATTATTATGGTACAAACATTTAGAAATTGCATTCACATTATACTGACTCAATTAAAAATTCAACAAGAAGTTACCCATGAAAGTGTCCATTCTTTTGTAGAATATCTAGGCCTTTCAAAACATTTGAGGAATATTTTTCACAATATTCAATTAACAGCAAGCCCATATTAGAGAAAATTCTTACACTAAGCACTACAAGTTTTCTCAAAATTCTTCACAGTTCTAGAACAGGGATCTGAAATGTGAACATGACTTTCACTGAAACTGGAAAGTAAGGGGGAAGAAATGTGGATTGCAATACATTCTTATATTTCCTGCATAGATAAATCACCTTGTGAAACCAAAAGCTGTAAACAAAGAGCACAGTGTTGCTGTTCTTACAGTAAAATAATCTGTGTCAATATCATCAATGTAGAAATATCCCCCCAATGTAGATGGAAAATGAACACAGACCTTTAGGACGACTGGTCAAATTCAAAAGTTTTTCAAAGCAGATTGATTCATTACAAAAAACAAAGTTCAAGAGTCTTTCCATTAAAAATTTCATATTCTCACCAATTAGGGTGCCCAGACAGGGAAAAGAGATTTTAAGGTCCAAACTTTCTAAATGTCTTGAATCTTGATAACAGTTGCTTCTCCCCTTCATTCTGATGCTTCCCCTAAATCTTTAACCCAACGTTGTGCTTTGGAATCTCTTTCTTGAAGGTTCTTTGAATGAATCTTCTGCTATGGTTAAGATTATTCAGATTTGGTCACCTTCATTTTAAAAAAATCTACATTAACAAAGTATTATATAAAGCAATAGTTTTATCCCCATCTTCTTCAGGTTCTTGTTCCATCTAAGACACTGCTTTCATCTAATTTTCCTGACCCTCAAAAATATAATAATTCTATGTATTAAATATCTTATTTATCTGTCCCTTGCCAAAGGGCAAAACCAAAGGAGAGCATTTCTACAGTAGTACCTTATAGTATCATTGATCATAGTTATGGCAATATATCACTAAAGCAAACAGGTTTTTTTTTAATTATAATGTTACCCAACATGATGATTGGCTGATGTTATAAATTGCCAGTATAGAATCCCACAGAGATCCCAGTGCACAAGCTGTGCACTGTCAAAAAAATTTGATGGTTCTCCTAGTTCTCCTGGTTATGTTGAAATGAGTATTCCTTTGTACTTGCTAGATTTTTTTAGTTGTAAAAGGAGTTTACTGTCATAAAGCCTAGTCATGATAGGCTGATGACTGTGTCATTTTAGCAAATACATTACATCTGCTCATGTATATTTTCTGCCAAGACAGACAAATAGTGATAGCCTTCATGTCGCATTGATCAACTGTATGCAATCTGCCCTCACTTTCTCAGCTTTTAGCATTTTCACCAATTCCATTGTTTTTATTCACAACTTATTCCCCAGGTATTAATTTAGACTTAAAAAAAAATAGAATGCAGTCTTTGTTATTTTCTTATAGAACTCATGAAAGTCTGTGAACTTCTTTGTTGGCTCATCCTTTGTTGGCTCATCCAAATCCAGTCTCTTCTTCCTTTTCCTCCTCAACTTTGTAAATACAGTTAACTCTCAAGCAATGCATAGCAAGTGGGGTGTTGAAACTTGCCACTGGCTGAGACTGACAATTCAATCAAAGTCCATGCTACCATCGGTAGATCTTCTCACTTTGTAACACTGAGCTGTTGCTCCTGTGTCCCCTTTTAGCTCTAACTCAGTGTTTTTCAACCTTTTTTGTGCAAAGGCACACTTTTTTCATGAAAAAA